GAACTCATGACCTTGCGCTTGCCAGGCAGGCGCTTTTGCCGCTGAGCTAAATCCCCAGCCCCTTACTTTTTATTTTAGTAATTGCTTTGCAGTAAGGACCACCTGAATATAAGGGGCATGTGTGATTTCATTACAATTTGATACTCAAATTGATATATATTCTCCATGTTCCTACCAAGTGATATTACTTATTTATTTATTTTTACTTTTTAAATTTTTATTTTATTTTTTGAGACAGAGTCTTGCTGTATAGTTCAGGCTGGCCTTGAGTTCACTGTGTAGCCCAAATTTGAGGCCACTGTAGCTGGCCTCAAATTTGCAGTGATCCTCCTGCCTCAGTCTCCTGAGTGCTGGGATTACAGGCATGCACCACTATGCCTGGCCCGAATGATGTTAAAATGATGTGTTACACACCTGAGTGGGGATGACTGACAAGTGATTTCCCATTCTTATTCATGAAAAATTGTAGCGGGTGTTTCCTTCTTCCTGCAAGGTCCTGCTCATGAGTCTCCTCTGCCCTTGCCAATCTGTTCCGCTAGTGTCCCATCCTGGTGTGTCCCCCCTGCCTGCTTGTAGCACACTAACCTAAGGTCATTAGGGCCACTCAGGCAAGGGCTTGATCCTTCTGATTCTCCGATGCTCATGTGCTGGGCACATAGCAGGTGCTTTAAAAAAAAATCTTTTCCATGAAAGCGTAAGTGAATGAATAGGTTTCCTTGCTCCTCAATAAAAGGATTATCTAGTGGGCTGATTAATATCACCTACCATCAGTTGGGATCCTCAGAACTTCTCTCAGCCCTTCTCCCTGAACTTTCTAGTTCACAGTGCTCCGTAAACTTTATTACCTCCACCGTCTCTGTGTCCTGGGGGTTCATTTCTCTTATCATAGCTCTAGTTTGGCCTCGTGTCCTCTTTCCACACCCTGTTTTATTTATCCATTCAGCCATTGATGGACCCTTCGATGGACCCATGTGGATGCTGGTTTCACATTGGTTGGCTTTTAGTTCTCCGTCCTGTATTTGATAACTAGGCATCATTTTATAGTTGTCTCCTAGAGTAATAGTCTCCAGAGTGGGGTGTGCAAGATCAGCCTGTTGAATACAGTTAAGAAAATATGAGAATATCCACTTGCATTTGTTCATTCTCTTAAAAAATCAGAAAATGACTAAGTTTGATAAAGTTAATAACTAGTTTGACAGTAGTAGGTTACCTATAATTACATATAGGAGATAATGTCATAAAAATTGTTTTATTGTTCAAAAAGCCTTTGAGAATATTAAAATGAAGCTTTATCCTTTCCTTTTTTCTTTCCTTTTGGTACCATACTAGGATCAAACCTAGGGACTCTCTCACTAAGCTATATCCCCAGTGTACCTGCCACCCCTTAATTTTTAATTTGGAGACAGGATCTTGCTAAGTTGTCCTGGCTGCCCTCAAACTTTTTATTCTCTGCTTAGTCTCCTGAGAAGCTGGGTATAGGCATACACCACTGTCCCTGGCTCCTTAATCTAATTTTTGATTGAACTTACATTTATTGACTTTCTTATGTTAAATGCTGAGAACACCAAAGATGTCCAATGCATTACTATTTGAGAAAGGATTACTGCTTTTTGGGTAGCGTTTTTTGTCTAGGTGATAGTGATGTTGTGATTATGCAGTCACTGTATGAGTGAAAGGTAGCATCACAGTCGTGCTGTTTGGGGACAGTACAGATTCCTGTGCCCCTATGCTGCATTTGTGCCTTGTGGCCAGCAGAAGGCTGGAGCTCCGGGAGGCATAGCCCGCCCTTTCTGGGACAGAAATCAGGAAGGTCTGCTGTCCTTGGGCACCAGATAGGAAGTTACAACCCTAATAGGAGTATTGAGATGTTCACATGGTACTCTGGGATAAGCCCTTTTTCTTCCAAAAATTTATATTGAGAGGGATGTGATAAGTCAGAAATTTAACATTTAATTGATCTAATTTAACATTGATTCTAAATACTTTTTATAAAGTCACTTTAAGAACAGCTCCATCTTTGTTCTATGCATTGTACAATCGGGTGTTACTTGTTTTTACTAGAAATACATTACCAGTGAAAACATTCGTATTTTTTTCTTAACAAGCTTGTACATGACTCCTGTTTTGTAAGTCGGAGCTGTTTTAAGCACCTTACAAATGTTAGTTCCTCTATCATATTGCCCTGGAAGACCTGCACTCACCGTGTACCTGCCCTGTGGACCTGTGCACTGAGGACACTGAGGGTGCTCCTGTGGCTGTCCCAGCTGCGAAATGGCAGAGCCAGGATTCCATCCAGGCCATCTGGCTTCAGCTGGGGCTGCTCACTGCAGCACTGTGCTGCCTGCGGCTAAAGCTCAGTGTAGGGTGGTTGTGTTACCCGTGGAAAGCTGTAACACCCAACAACACACAGCATGCGGATATCTAGTGCCTTTAAGAAGAGAGATGATCTCTCCCCTGTGTTCATTTCTCCTGACCACTGATGACCGCTGATCGGTACACTTCTCTGATACTCGTGTTTAGGATGTTGTAGTCAGTCACTGTCTGGTATTTCAGTGAATGAACGATGACCATGCCCTCAGTTTTATGGAGATTGGACTGGAGTGGAGGTTGGACTTCATATTTCATGCCTTGAGTAGCTCCATGGTCTCAGTCAGATTGCCAGCTGTAAGCTGCTTTTTCAGCAAACCACAACCAAGAACATTCTGGTTCAGTACTTGCGCCTTTAGCCTGGCATGGTGGCGCACGCCTGTAATCCCAGCGCTCGGGAGGCTGAGGCAGGAGGATCGTTGTGAGTTTGAAACCAGCCTGGGCTACAAAGTGAGCTCAAGGCCAGCCTGAACTGCATACTGAGACCTTGTCTCAAAAGAAAAAAAAAAGGACTTGCACCTTTGTTTCTTGCCTCTAAATTGCAAATATATGCCTTGGAAGCAACTTAATTGTACTAGCAGTTTTAAAAAAATATGCCTGCCCACTTAGGATGAAAGGAAATGGGGCCTCAAATGCCAAAGATACAGTGCATTAAGGGGGTACAAAGACTATAAACACCTTTCACGTCCTTGTAGTTTTTAGTAAAAGTTTTATTGCTTGCTTCATGTCGTTGAGTAATTTCGGTCTCCTCTTGTGGCCACAGCACTGTCCCTTGTTGCTGAAGGACAGGCAGAGGCTGGCAGAATTCAGGATCCATCCTGCAGGTTGGACGGCTCTGCCAGGGCCTTGCCAGGAGCAGGGCATTCTCCTTGTGAAGCAATGACTCAAGCACGCGCAGGGTGGGGGGTGGTGTCTTGGGATGTGTTTTGGGGAGCACCGAACCTTGCAGTTTGGTTGGAATAGAGATCCTCAGGAGAGAGCGGCGGGGGAGAGCCTGAGTGGAAAGGTCCAGGCTGGGCTCTGTTTTGGTAACAAAAGATCTTTTGTTCATTCAGCAAGTATTTATTGAGTGCTTGCTGAATACACCAGACAGAAACCCCTGGCCTTGTGGTGCCTACATGAGGTGAGAGTGACACAGGACAAAGAAGTGAGCTAGGAACTGTGCCGCGGGTGAGGTGGTTAATCTGGGAGTAGGTGGACTCCTGGGCCCACTGTGCCAGGCGGGAATTCAGGTTCTGAGGTCACAGGGCAACTGGGAACACTGAGCTTTTCTCCATAGCTGAAGAAAGCGCCCCACACATGCAGTATGGTGTGCAGGGAGAGGATCTACAGCAGGTGGGGTCTTGGCAGAAGCCTCTAGTGTTCCGGGTGAAGTAGAGGCTTTGGGCTCCCAACTGCCTCCTGCGAGAATGGATGTGTTCTTTGTGGAGTAGAATTTTAGCAGATAGCAGGGTTGGAAGGATTAAGGCAGTGATGGCGAACCTGGATTACCACCCCTCCCCCCTTTATGGAATGAATAAACTGCAATGAATCAGGACTCCTTGGGAGAACAAAAACAGTAAGGTACTTGGAACCGTTCCTGCATTGTGTGGCTGGGACGAGGAATTTCAGTGAAGGACCCTCAAGACTCGTGAAGGCTGCTTAGCTGAGCACACTCACCAGAAGGCCCAGGGAATTTCAGCGTCTGCAGGGCCTGGGCTGTGTTCCAGCCCCCTGGGTTACGAGGTCTGACTGATTGAAGTGTGTCTGTGGACTTGTCAGTAAAATAAGACTATTCCTGTGGCACCTGCTGGTGGTCCCTGGAGCGCAGTGGCAAGGAGGGAGCGCAGTCCCCGCCTGCCTAGAGTGGTAGCTGTGACCGCGTGTGGTCTTGTGCAACCCTGACAGCGCTTTGTCAACTCCAGAGCTCTCCTTGCCTGCCGGCTCTTCCTGTTTCTGAGTCCCGACTCCTTTGCTCAGGGGCTGGTGTTCTGTTTGGGCAAATTGTTTGGTGAGAAAATTCTGATTGTGGACTGCAGATCAGCTCTGGTCCCCCTTCTGGTGAGTGGGCCTGAGTGCTGGCCGAACCGCCCAGTGGGCAGTGGGTGCGGTGTGCAGATCATAACCCCTGTGTGCAGTGGTAAAGGGCAGGGTCTGGTTGGCGCTCAGTAGTTTGGACAAGTTACCTGATCCTTTTAGAAGTTCATTTCGTATGCTAAAAGGGGATGATAATGGCAAACCCTTGAAAATGCTGTAATGAAGAACTGAAATGCCATCAGGTGTCCTTTGTTGTACTGGCTACCTCGATGTCCTGGCTTTGTGTGTGTTTAATTATTTTGTTTACCACAATACAAATCGGAAGGCCAAATGTACGCCTTTTGTACATCAGTATTTAAAGTATAAATAAAAATATGATTTGTTTACTGCTGTAAGTAAGAAATAAAACAGTACAGAAAGTATTCATTAGAGTTTTGTTTCTTCCTTGAAGCAGTAAACAAGTGATATTTTTACTTTGGTAACAGATGCCTAATTTTGGTGTATTTTTCCTCATTTGCTAAGTGTTTTAGTTACTCAGACACTTTCTAGCATAGAAATAAATGAAAATTGTAAGTACAATCTCAAAAACAATTGTGATTCTCAGTAGATGTCCTGTATGACCATGCTGCATTACCCTGAGTGTGGCTGCTTTGCTAGGAAGAGGAGGGCTATCAAATGAGCGGGTTAATCTCTTGGCAGATGCCCCTCAATGTTTGTATGACACAGGGCAAATTAATTAACCTCACTGAGCTGAGTCTTGCAGAGAGGCTAGGGACAGGACCCGTGTCTGGAGGTCTTGTGAGGGCAGCATGAGATAATGCATGTAAAATGCTTAGCTCGGTTCTAATAGCGAATGGTACTCACTTCATTTTGCTAGTATTATTGTGGCTGTAGCCATACAATTTCAACTGACAGTGTTTCTGAACTGTTGCATTATTTCTGTCCTACAAGTAGTAGATATAAAAAGCGCACTAGACAATTCTTATTTCTATATAGCTGAGTCATACAATAGAATTCAAGAGTTTTAAAAACAGGTAGTTAGTGAAGGTTTGCTTTATTATAAAATGTTTTCCTAACTAGACATTGTACTAAGGTAAGGAATGTAAAATGGAAATATTCTTCTAAAGTTTTCTTCATATGTATTTCTAGGATTGTATGTTTCACGTATGATCTATTCATGTGGATACCCTCTACTTCCCAGGGTCACACTTTTAGACCTTATGATTGCCAAGCTGGTGAGCGATGAACAGCTGACCAAAGATGAGATCTCCATGTTTCTGCACCACGCCGAGCTGATCGCAAGCTCCTTTGTGGACCAGTGCAGGTCTGTGCTTAAGCTGACCTCCGAGCAGCACGCTGAGGATGAGGTAAGGACATATCTCACGGTCCCAGATGACGGGACAGCAGGTTTTCTAACTTGGCCACACCCTCTGTAACAATTTGTTCTTAAAAGGTTTTAAAAATACCATAGAAATAATATATCCTTATATTGGAATACTTAGAAAATCCAGATAAGAGAGAATAGTGCCCTTATTTCTGCCATTCTGGTTAAGGCATTTTTAAGGCAGATGACAGCGGATAGGAGCGTGTGTACAGAGGCATAGGTCTATTAAAGTGGCATCTTCTATTGTAAGTCCTATTTTTCCTGTAAATGTAGGCTCCATAGGGGCGGGAGTTGGAGCAGGGGAATAACACACAATGAAGCACCTGAGGAATATTTGCTGAATGATAAATGAACAGGACACTGTGACTGTCTTTTTAAAATGCCAGCACAATATTCCAGGTGAAGAATTTTGCATAAATTATTTGACCAATTCCTTGTAGTTGGGCATGAGCCGTGCCAGTTGTGCCAGAGTGCATGGCTGCATAGCTATGTCTTTGCACATTTCTCCCATTCGTAACCTAGGCTTTCATCTTGGCAGTGGACTTGGTGGGTATAAGGTATATACAGTTGAAAGCTATTGGTATACATTTCCCAGGTGCCTTCTAGGAAGTTGATATCTCCTGTCTAGTATAGGAGCTTCCCCATTCAGCCCCTCTTGGTTGACCACTTCTGGCACTTTTTCTTCTCTTCCACTCTATTGTAGGCTGTGTAGGCCTTGTCTTTCCAAAGGGCTTGGAAGCTAGGCAGCACTTACCTTGTTCTCACTTTGTCACTTGGAAGTTTCTCTTTATTTTTATCTTTTCCTCCTTCCTTCTTCCCTTCTGAGCTAAAGTCAAAAGTGTTCTTTCTTAGCAAACAGCTCAGCCACAAAAAGCACTTCAGGTACAACAGGGATGAATCACAAAGGTGCCAGCCGAGAGGAGCCAGACAGAGCGGAGAACGGACTGTCGGGTTGCATTCTGTGAGGCTTAGTAGCAGGCCAGCCCCGGTGATAACAAATGGAAATAGCTCACAGGCCACCTGGGGCTGAGTGATTGCCCAGGGGATGGAAGGGAACTTTTTGGGTAGTAGAAGTATTATGCTTAGCCATGTGCCTCGGCACAACTCTGTGTACTGTGCATTCATGAATGTGCTTTACTGACAGCAAGTCAGACCTCAGTAAGTTGTTTTCAACACATCTTGAAAGTGATGAGAGGTCATTTGTGTGCCGGTGGGAATGATCAGGTGGAGGAGTAATTGCTGCCAGAGTCTCAGCCTGTTGGCAACAGGTGGGACAGGTTGAGAGGACTGGAATCTAGGGTGGACACTCAACCCCATCAAGGTGTGAAGGAGCAGAGCACACAGCAGTGAGCATGTTGTGTCCCAGAGAGCCACGTGTGAGCCTGTGGCTGTTGTAATACCTGTTGTCAGTGCAGCCACGATCCTGACTGTTCCGCCGGGAGAGCGTGGCCCTTCCTGTGCCTGTGCTCTGGCGCAGGACCACTTGCTGTTGACTCTCTTCGGCTGTGTCCTGCAGACCAGATTCGGTGTCGCAAACTCTGCCAGAATCCGAGTCCTCATTTTCTGTGATGGACAAAGGGAGGTCTTGTGTACTGGCTTCCTGTTCCTTTGTGGGGATAGATTTGCCTTTGTTTCCAGCAGGAGGAGCAGTGAGCTGTGCTTCAAAAAAGTAGAAAAAATTAATTGTTTAGGAGACAAGAAAGACAGTAACACTTAATACTCACTAAATTGCAGCTTTCAGCTCTTCACAGGACTTGGTTTAAAGTGATTTTAGTATCCCAGTGAGAAGTTACCTGGTATAATTTTTTATATTTTTCTTTCAAATAGTTGTTTCTGTAAAATGGAAAGAATTATTGTATGTTAATGGAATAGAAAACCGTAAGCAATTTTCTTTTGAAAGCCCAAAATAGTTTACCTTTAGGAATTTATTAATCTGCCTCCTCATGACTTGTATATATTAGTATGTATATATGTTACACCTTAAGTTTTTTTTTTCTGGTAGCAGGAATCGAACTCACCACCTTACGCTTGCCAGGCAGGTACTGTGCTGCTGAGCTAAATCCCCAGCATACACCTTAAGTTAGAAGGGGGAAAAAGGTAGTTTCTAAGAAGACCTCTGTGTTCATACTAAATATGCCAGGTTCCCACTGGTGAGCAGGACCTGGCCGCACTGACTTCGTAGTGCCTGTTGGGACATATCTGGAGATGCAGGTGCAGTCACATGGCTGGGGGCTCTGTTTTTCTGCATGGGAATCAGCAGGAGCTGTGGGTCTTAGCTCCTCCCAGCCACTCTCCCAGCAAACTCCTGCATTTATGCATTGGCAACTTCTTTCTTAAGGACAAGCTATTCAGTAAAGCGCTCATGATGCTATGACCAGGAAATGAAAATAATTGAATTCATAACCTCTAATTTTTACGTTGTACAGTTGTCTGGCCTTAAAATCCTCCACTTTAGTCCGTTTGTTTCTAAAAGTAGCCTTGGGTGCACTTGTTAATGTACTGGTTCCCACCTTTTGTGCTGTTTCACATGTACGTCTTTCCAGGTTTTCATACATTTGTGTGCATTTTAGTATATTTCACCCATAAGATTTAAGCTTCAGCTTACGGGGATGTCGTTCACCTGTTAGGAGCTTTGCCTGCCCCCTGAAAACTTAAAAACTGCTTTTGTATGTTCTGGCACACATGTGCTATGAGAGGTGTCCTCAGGATGTGGGCTTTTCATTTTGGTGCAGTCCTTCAACCCCCTTTTCAATCCTAGTATTTGTGATGCAGAAGGCATTTGGGACGTGCGTAGAGGTAGAAATGGTGTTCTTTCATTCCACGTATTGCTGAAGAGTATAATTTACACAAAAATACTTCCTTTGTTCTAAAAAAATTATTTAAGCTGAAGTCAATGAAAGATACAAAGTTAAAACAGTTTCCTGCTGTTTTGCCCCACCCCTGTATTCTGCAGAGCTACCTGCATGTACTTTTTTGGTTTTCCTTCTGAAGGCTTTGTGTGTTTATGTGTGCCTACACCTGTATGTTTCTGTTTCCTTTCTCATGATATTACATATACTATTTTTAACTTGCTTTCTTTCACTGATAACTTCTATAGCTTTCTATTTTAACACACGCATATTTGTAGGTTTTATTTTGTTTTGTGGTGTTGGGGGTTGAACCCAGGGCATTTGTACTGAGAACTCCATCCCCAGCCCTTTTTTACATTGAGAAAGGGTCTCACTAAGTTACCACATGGGCTCACTTTTGATCCTTCTGCCCCAGTCTCCTACAGTGCTGGGATTACAGGAGTGGGCCACCACTCTTGCTTACCAGATGCTTTTTAATAGATGAAACTAATGTTTCACTGTGTTGATATATTGTATCATAGCTATTTAATTTCTTCCTTATAAATATTTCATTTGCTTCCAGGTTTGTTTGTTTTTGGAAAACCTTTACAAATGCTATAGTAAACATTTTTCTTTCTTTTGTTCTGTTTTTTTGTGGTGCTTGGGATTGAACACAAGGCCTTTGTACTGAGCTATAACCCCAGTTGTTTAAAATTTTTATTTTGAGATAGGATTTTGCTAAGTCGTTAAATTGCCTGTGCTGGGTTTGAGCTTGTGATGCTCCTGCCTCAGCCTCCCAGGGTGCTGGAATTACAGATGTGTACTACCACAGCTGGCTCAGTGAACATCCTTGTACAAATATCATTGTGGTTTTGGACATGTAAATCTGGGGTTATAAATTCCTTGAAGTTAAATTGCTGTATGTGTGTTTAAAATATTTGGAGATTTTGAAAATGTTATACCAATACTGCAGAAGACTTGTATGGGTTACAACTCTTTCCAAGTATGAATTAATTACCATTTCTGTCTAATACTTTTCAGTGAGCAGTATGTTTATTTGTTTTACATATTACGTTATATTTTCAAATGCTTTTACTAAGAATATTTTCAGAGCTGGGCATGGTGGCACATGCCTGAAATCCCAGCACTGAGAAGGCTGAAGCAGGAGTATTGCTGTGAGTTCCAGGCCCGCATGGTCTACATAACTAGCCAGCCTGAACTATATATAGTGAGACCCTGCCTCACTATGAATTTTTTTTTTTTTCCAAAAAAAAAAAATTAACCTTGCTGTCATGAAACCTCATAACTTTCTATTTTAAGTAATTTATGGTATTCTTAGCCTTATTAGTTATGCTTATCAATTTTATCCTTATGGCTTTTGAATTTTTTTACACATTTAGTGAACTTTTGTCTGTATATGTCATATTTCTTTCTGTACCTAGTCCAGAGTTTTGATTAATCTACACAGTTTGCAAGCAAGGAGTGATGTATGAATCCAAGTTAATCACTTGTCTTTTTTAAAAAATTGTGTTTCAACTAAGATTTTATAAAATTTTTGTCAAAAGACTGAGTTCAAATTCGAACTATTGAGTTCGAATTTTCTTATATTGCTAGTGTGTGACCATGGAAAAGTTAGCCACTCCATGCCTGTTTTCTTTACCTATAAAATGGGTTGCATTTGGCTGTAAGCTCTATTTCACTAAAGTATGCTGACTAGCACCTAACCAGTAAAGATGCCAGCTATCAATCATTACATCAATACATATCATTTAGTGACTATCCGCACCGTTTAACTATCTTTAGCATGTAGTAACTTTTTATATATTTACATTCATTTCTAGGTTTTCAGTGGATAGAGAGGGAACCAGGAAGGAAAATTCAGAGAGCTGCATGTTAGGTGCACTAAAGGAATACTCAAGTATATATACCAGAGAACACAAAGACTGCTCTACGCCAAAGGCAGCAGTTAATTGCATTCTGCACAGAAAAAACTCATGTGTGTGTCTGTTGACATTGTTACCATTTTTCTATGACTTGCAAAGTTGTAAAATACTGTAGTTCATAAACTGAAGGGCAGGGCTCACTGAGACAGCTGAACTAGACAGGAAATGAATTCTTGTTTTCTCTTCTGCCCTTTTCAGAATCTTTCAGAGTATTGTTTTATTCCCCCCAGTGCCTGATTTAATTACTATGGTTTAGTTTTTTGTTTTTGTTTTTCTTCCTGTACTAGGAATCGAACTCATGACCTTGCGCTTGCCAGGCAGGCGCTGTGCCACTGAGCTAAATCCCCAGCCCCTAATTACTATGGTTTAGAATAGTTTTAGATATCTGAAAGGAAATTTTACCCATTCCCCTTAGTTTTTAACAAAGTATTTTTTCCTGGCTATTATTTTCATTATTAATTTCCAAATGCTCTCTAGAAACACCTATTAATAAAGAGATTTTTAATGACTAAAATTGGGGGTGTTTCAGCTGGGGATTGGTCGGTGTTCTTTTGCATTTACTTTACTTGTTATCATAGATTCTAGGGAAATGGAAAGAATCTTCCAAGTCATGTTTTCCAAACCCCTACTTTTATTTTTGGCTTTTTAGCATGGAGAATTTCAAACACAGAAAAAAGTGCACAGAAACTGTGTCCCATGCCCACAGCAGTCCTGGGCTCTGTGGTCGTCATGCATGTATGGGCTCGCTGTGTCCTCCTGTCACTCATGAGTCCACCTGTGCTCCTCCAGTTCCCTGCCTGAAACCAAACTCTTGTGGGCTTCATGAGACATTCGGAAAGATGAGGCATCTTAAGATCCATGCACAATAACACTTAGCCCATCTAAGACAGTAATAATAAAATTATCCAGTAAAAAGTATGCAGATTTCCCTCACTGTCCAAATAAAGTCTTCAAGTTTGTTTTGTTGAGTCAGTGACAAATAAGGGCCATACTTTGCAATTCATTGATATATCTCCACTGGCCTCTAATATTTCGGTTTCCTTGGATCCTCGTTCTTTTTCCTTTTCCCCCTCCCTTTGCTAGTTATTTGCTGAAGAAACTGGGTTGGTATTCATGCAGAGTTTTTCTGCATAGCTGACTTTCTTCTCTTCCCCTGGGTTGGCTGGGAAGAATAGTTCCAGAGGCATATTGGGATTTGAGTTCGTTTGTTGTTTTTGTTTTTTGTTTTATCCTTGGTGATGCACTTTCACTAACGGGTGCATAATGCTTGGTTGCCTTTTCCTCTGTAGGGTTAGTGGTCTGTAATGATGACCGAGCTCCCTTCACTTTTGGAGGCTGCAGAGTAGTGGCATTCTGACTCTGACCGCTTATTACGTACTTATTAGCAAGAGTATTTTAGAAAGAGAGGCATTCCCTGATCAGTGCTAGGTGATGCAGGTACATTATGGTTAAGAGAGATGATACATGCTTTACTTTTTTTTCCCCATTGATTACAGGTCTTTAAATCAATATGTTCATTTTGTGGCAGCACCTGAAAGATGATATTTAACTATCACTGTGAAGCCATAGCTATAAAACTGCTTGACTTGTTTACAGTCTGGTGGAGGCGACTGCAGTTCTTCCAAATGTCGTAAGGTGCAGTCCCAGCCAGTGGCGCCTGTCAAATCCTTTCTGATTCCTTCTGCTGTGTGTATGACAGCGGTGTAGGCTCACCTTGGATGTCCTATGCCCCACACCTTGCATCAGCCAAGCATTTCTTGGGAAAAGATGGTATCTAGAGATGACAGTCTGGGCAGTGACCCACTTAACTGTAGAAAATGCTGCATCCCTGTGGAATTAATGAGTTTGCTTAAGATTTTTTTCATGGTTGTAGTTTAAACTTCGAATCTAGATTCCCTCACTCTCTAATTAGCAAGTGAAAGTTGTGGTTAAGATGAAAGATGTTAAAAATGTGTTATTTCACGGAGCACAGTGGTGTACACCTGCGATCCACGCCATATGGGAGGCTGAGGCAGGAGAATCTCAAGGTCAGGGCCAGCCTGGGTAACTCACTATGACCTTTTCACAAAAAATAAAAAGGACTTGGCTATAGCTCAGTGGTAGAATGCTAGCCTGACATACATGAAGACCTGAATTTAATTCCCAGTGCCACATACATACAAAATGGTGGTACTTTTTGCTGTTTTGAGATTTTAGAATGGTATATTAAAATATTACTTTTAAATCTCCTAATTAGAGAGTAGTAAATATATATTTAGTAGTAACAAGTAACTATTTTTTCTTTGTTTTGGTGGTTTTTGTTTTTTTTTTTTTTTTTTTTTTTTTTTTTGTACCAGGAATTGAAGTCAGGACCTTGCGCTTGCCAGGCAGGCACTTGTGCCACTGAGCTATATCCCTGGTCCTTAACTTTCTTTTGAACATTATCTTTATTACCTAAATTTATTGTCTCTCTCACATTTTTTCAGATAATGTGTACTATAAAAGCACAGTTTAAAATCTCTTGAAAACTTGGTTTTAAAAGTTTTATACAGAACACTTAAGGCCATGTAGTTGTTACTTGGTAGTTTCTTGGCCATGCATTCTATTTAATGTAAATTATTTTAGTAGCTGTGTAAACTAACGTTTTCGAATCACACTATATTTTCCAACCCACCAAGATATTGCATGTAGGTTTATATTTACCCAGAAATAATCTTAATACCCTGAAGCCAGAGTTTTTTAACCATAGCACTTTATTGGATTCCTGTGGACAAGAAGTTAGTGTATTTAATGGGACATTTGCATCTATCTTTACAGTAGGACTTGCACACTGGGAGCATTACAAAAGGAAAGTATTTGCAAAAATGTTATGTAGGCATAGCTAGTAATTTTGAGTACTTATCTGGCTGTTGGAAGGTATTTTTCCTTGAATAAGAACTTTTCTGATTCTTTGCTCCAGGAAGACAGTAATAACACATAATCTTGCGTTCTCTATGGCAGATGTATGTTGTTAGTAAAAATGTCTGTCTAGAACGTGTTTAATAACTATCTTTTGCTCTACATAAATGTTTCTCTCTTTAGATGTATTGTGAGCATGCACTGACTTTAATGTTCATCATAACATTTTATTCTCTCACTGTTACTTTCACTCATACCGTTTAGCTTCTCATACACTTCAAAGTCACCTTCCCTTGTCTCTTTAGGAAGTGCTGGCCACAATCAGGCTCCTAGATGTACTGTGTGAAATGACAGCCAATACTGAGTTACTGGGCTATCTGCAAGTTTTTCCTGGCCTACTGGAAGGAGTGATTGGTGAGTGAAATATCACACACTGTTTTCAGTTTACAAGTCTTTGATTTGTCACCACTGTAAGTCCAAACATAGATCCTTAGTTTTTAGTATTGTAAGAACACTTTTGAGATTTTCTGAATATTTGTTTTTGAGAGAAATCATGATACTGTGGTAATCAGTCTGGCTTTGGACACAGAGCATGCTGGGACCACCCTGCAGGTCTGCCGCACCCCTCTGTGCTGAGGTTGTGCACCTGCTTAGTGAGATGAGCATAGCGGGGCCTGCCCTGAAGGTCCCTGCAGTAGATGTTTCTGCAGGAGTGTGATAGTCAGCGTTGTGGGGTGGAGGTTTGCAACAGTGAGGTTTTGTTTTTTTTAAAAAAATAATGTAGCTTTGCAATATTCAACGCTAAATTTTTCCCAGTTACATTTACTGAATACATAAAATAGTGTTTTGCATGTATCCTATTCTTATAAGAAAATTGTTTAAAGTATTACTATCTTTATCAGCAAACTATTTGCAAAATAATTCAGATAGGACCTATTTTGTATACTTAGTCCATCACTCTGTTACATTTCCCTTGAAAAAGATAATTCTTATTCTCGGAGGCCCATCACTAGCAAAAGTGACTGTGTCTCAAGGTTAGCTGTCTGGCAGCGTGCTATAGGAGTGTGTAGAAGTCCATCCAGAGTTTATATTGAATGCCGTGCTTTTGGTGATCAGCCAAATAAACGGTCACCAACCTGGGAGTCCCTGTGGAGGCAGGATGTGTGGGTTGCTGTCCAGTGCTGCCATAATACTAATTTCTCTGAGCCCGATTTCTTCATTATAAAAGTGGGAAGGTGATGTCTGTTTTTCGTAGATTTGCTGCGAGGGTTAAGTGAGGTGATGTGGAAGCACGCCATACCTTAACTCCTGGAAGGTTATTCTCAGAGGCTGCCTCTAGGTGTTCATGCAGTGTGACCATGTTATTTCTTCTGACTAGCTATTTCACCATGCTGAGTCTCCAATGATCTGCCATTGAGCAAACTAAAGCTCTCTTGATTTCTGTGGTAATGGGTCACTACAGAAACATATTTTCACTTAGGTTTAGTGCCTGTTGTGTGATGAGTTCTTACAGGAAGAAATTGGAATTCAAAAGCTCTATAAGAAAGATGCTGGAAAATTTTTAGCTGACTTTTCTTTGTGAATGAATAAAAAATTCAAGTCAAGATAATTATTATGGCTTCTCTTCCCAAAATCAAAGTTAAAAAAAGTCATGTAAACCTTATTAAAGAAGAGCAATACCTTTATTTTATTTTAATCCATTAAAATAAATTAGATTTGTTTATGGAAATGTGGTACCAAATACTAAAAATTATGTTATGGAAATGTAGTACCACGTACTAAGAATTTTTTTCCTGTGGAAAATGAAGTTTACTCTTTTGGCTACAGATCTTTTGCGAGTGATTCATGTAACTGGAAATGATACCTCAAACATCTTCAGTACCTCTGGTTGTGTAAGAGCAGAAGGTGACGTCTCCAATATGGCAGAGGGGTTCAAGTCTCATCTCATTCGTCTGATTGGAAATCTGTGTTACAAGAATAAAGAGAACCAGGACAAGGTAAGATGATTTCTTAGTATGTGTCATGTATACATGTCTTCATTAAAACATGGCATTTAGAATTTACATTATATTCATTTTGGAGTAAAACCTTGAGGTGCTTAGAAAGTATCAGGAAGATATATACATATATATAAAATATATAACATAAAATAGTACATGTTATATATTTTTCACACAGATATTAGAGTCTGTATTTGTATGGTTTTATTTTGTCTTTGTCCTGAGTGTATCAAGCCAACTTTAGTTCTCAATGCTTATATAAAGCCTGTGCATTTAGACACTCTAATATTGTGCAGAGAACAGTCAATAGAAATAGATATTTAATAGCTCTAGAAAAAATTTTAGCATGTAGTAGGTATTTAAAAAAATGTTATTATTGGCCATTAATAAAAAGAAACCCCCCAAACCCTTATGTCTGTAGCCTACGTTTATGAATGATAACATCAGAAGGCAGCGTGCTATAGGAGTGTGTAGAAGTCCATCCTTCCTTGGAGTTGTTTTGAAGTAGACATAAATGTAAGCCTTAAGTCTTTGGGAGCTCAGTAGACTGTTTTTGGAATCCCTTTGTGCTGAACAGTATAGAGCTGGTGATATTGTTAATGTGAGACAGTGATAAAGGGTTGTAGGAAGATCAGACCACATAGCGCACATGGGCTAGTGTTTCTGTGTCTTCCTGGAGTTTATTTTGGGTGGCATTTATTTTGTTTTCTTAAATAGTAAGTCTGTGGCAGATTGTATTTTCTAAGAAGTGAACAAAAATGTGAGTGATTTTATATATTTTTCTGTAATGTGACTGCCACTCCCCCCTTCAAGGATTGGCATCTCTTTTCCTGTCCCCTTGAATCCACCCAGTCCTTGTTCCTCTCTGAGCAATACAGAATGGTGGGAGTGATCCTATACCATTTCCAGCATAGCCCTTAATTGATCTGACAGCTTTTATTTCCAGCCTCTCTGAAATCAGTCACCGTGTAAGATGTGCTGATTCTGTGAGATCCTTTTGCTATGAGTTGATTAAGTCTACATGGAGAAGCTCTGGAGAGTGAGAGGCGGTGAATAGAGAGGGAGTCTAGTCAAGGACACCAAGGCATCAGACATGCGCAGGAAGCTTCTCTTGGAAATAGATGCAGCATTTCTATCTCTCGGAAATAGATGCAGCTTCAGTGCCCTACCTGCCCCGGCAATGCCAGTTAGGTCGGGCAGAACCTTTTCTGAATTCATGACTCACAACATTGTAAGAAAAAGTAAGACATTTTGAGGGAAAAAAGTTTGGGTTTCCTTCCCTTAATAGTTGAGGAAGCTGCTATTGGACTTAACAGTTATAAACTCCAGACAAAAGAGAGCAATGTGAAGGCAATGAGATTTGACACGAAAGGCCAATTCTGGAGTGATTGACATTAGTGGAAGGGAATGGCACAGTATTTGCCATGCAGGGCAGTTCAAAATGATAGAAAACCAATAGTCTTTCCTACCTTGAAGAATCAAGGACAGTTAGGGGGCAACCAAACTCCTGGAAAGTACAGGGAGAATTCAGGAACGGTAGGCCTCAGATTCTGTGCCTCAGCCAACTTACCCCTTGCTGGTGCCTGAATCACACATATCTGGGACAGGCTCCAGACAGCTAAGCTAAAGGCAGAATAATTTTAGCAAGATTTGAGCAATAAAAAATGGACAGTTACACATCTAACCAAATAATTTCCTGCCAAAACAAAGCTACTAACACTTTGTAGAGGAATGTAATAGAATCCAGAATTTCTACAGCAGAGCCATTCATGATATCCAAGATACTAATATCATTTGTTATACAGGAAAATGTGGCTCATTCTCAAGAGAACGTGTAATCAATGAAAGGTGACTGTGATGTGACATATATGTTGACAAAGGTTTTAAAACAGTAGTTGTAGCTCAAGTCTGCTATATTAGTCACTTTTCCTTCTGCTGGATCCAAATACCAGACATACATGGCTTAAATGTAGTGGGGGATATTTGACTCATGGGTTCGGAGGGCTCAGTCCATGTTCAGCTGGCTCCAAGGCAGAAACAGCATGGCAGAGGACATGGCAGAGGATATCTGATCTCTTTATGGCCTCTGGAAGACAGAGCAGAGAAAGGGGCTAAGGATCAGATAATGACCTAAGGATCAGAAATGACCCCCAGGCCATAGCTCTATGACCCACCCACGTACTCCTAAAAGTGTGTTTTACTGTTGGTGGCTTCCATGCCAGTCTAGTTGAGAATGAAGCTTAACTGTCAGATACAAGGAAAAATTTGCATCATATGAATGAAAAGATAGGATATCTCAGCAGAAAAATAGGAACTATAAAAAAAAGAACCAAATGAAATTGTAGAAATGAAATTCAATTACCTGAAGTTAAAAAGAATTGTTAAATATGCCTAACAACTCAATAGAGACATCAGAGGAAAGAGTTACTATACTTGAAGATGTGTCAGTAGAAATCATCTAGTCTGAAAAATAGGAGGATAAAGATGTAAAGTAAAATAGACGTTTTTAAGGTGCCAAATCTGGGGGACTTCGTCATGTAGCAGGCGATAATGGAAGTAACTCCTAGGAGATGCATGTTTTCACGATTGTGCTACTTCTCCTTAGCTTCAAGCTGGTACTAGTGTAGGACTACTTAACCCTGCCTTGGAAAATTACTGGACTGAAGTTTATAAAGGAAAGTTGATAGAGAATAAGACACTTTACCTTTTTAATGACCAAGACTGCCTTTCTTGAGCAGCACAAAAGCGGTGGTTTTTCTGGTGTTGAACTATTCTTTTGTTGCTAATTTGAATTGGCCTCTTATAGGAACCAAATGCAGTACCCTTAAAAGGCTTATGAAATAACCCACTGTAGTCGGGATCGGGTTGCACCCTAAGCAAACACAGAGTGTACCCAAGTGCGGCTGTGTCCAGGTCACTGGGGCTCAGAGGAAGTCGACGATGTGTCCCTGGCCTGTGCAGGTGCTAATGGGACTGCTGATTTCTGAGCAAACACTCAAGGGGATGAAGGAGTTCAGCCTCTAGTACGAAAATGCCTCTCCTTCTCCCAGTTTCTTTCCTGTGCCAACAAAAGCCCTGTACCTGAAAGCATTAGCTCTTGGCGTTTCTGTCCTTCCAGAGACCCCGAGACAACACCGCAGTCTTATTCTGGATGTGCTGGGGCTTCTTTATTTTTGTAGCCAAATCCTGACTCCAGCTGGGTGTTGCCTTGGTCATTGTTACCATGAGGAATGAAGTCGGGAGCACTCGGTGGCTTTATAGTTTTGAGGAAATGGGGGTTTAGGTACCTGGTCTTTGTCATCGGGCTGTTAATTCTTATTGTGTTGCCTGGATAGATTGTCCTGCTTTTACACAAGTTGGGGCCCACAGGGCAGTTTGGCTGTATGTCTGCACCAAGACCAAACATATGAGGTAGGTGGGATTGGGGTCATCACATTTGATTAGGATTCATCCATCACTCAGCAAAAAGGGACAGGGGATGGTCATTTATTCAGCGCCTACCATGCCTTGCAGTGTGCCTTGTGCACTGCAGGTCTTAACAGTGTCATTCTCTTCCTCAGCCTTGCAAAGCAGGTGCTGCTCACCATGTTTTGAGGAGAGGCCATCCAGCTGGTGAACTGCAGAGCCAGAGTAGAATTTGGATTTGTTTGCCTGTGAGTTCCCAGACCTGCTGCCTCTCATTTGAGAACTTTTCAGGACTTTGGAGGAAAAGGTTTACAATAGACTTAGAGGACTTCAGACAATAGGTGCTGCTGGCCAGGCCCCCTGGCGCCCTCTGTGTTTAAATCTGAAGCTCTGGTGGTCCTCTCATCCCTTTCCCAGTCATCATTTCCTCCAGTGTGAACATTCCCAGCCTAGAGGATTCTTTGATGAGTAAAGGTTCTCTTCCTGGGAAAGTTCTAGTCTAGGACCCAGAATCCCAAAACCACTCTTGACACAAACTTTCCTGCAATCTTTGTGTACCGCCTGCTTTCTCTGGAGTTTGAGCTGGAGCCTTTTAAGCCCTGCCAGATCATGTAACTTCATCCATTGCAGTAGCCATGATGTCCACCAGCTGGGTGGACCCTTTACATTCTTTACCTTTGCCTGTCCCTTTCCATTTTATGGAGTTCTTTTCATCTGCATTAGGTCACTTCAGCCTGTGCCACTTCCATGAAAAAGACTGAAAAGATTTTATCATCATTTTCTGAATTTAGAAACCAAGGCTCGGAGAGACTTAAATGTGATTCATTTCAGCTAATGTCTGTTGAGTGGAAAATCTGTCTGCATGTTCCAAAACTGACAGTCACTTTCGTTTGGGATAACCACATGCAGTGGTAGCACTAACCAGAATCTGGAGAGAGGCCCGTCAGAGAGGAGCCCCTGGAGACCTGGCCCCATGCACTGGCCATGCCCAGAGCAGGGAGCAGGCTGGTCTGAGCAAGGCCAGGAGCCGGACTGTCAGGAGCATGGGATTAACAGGATGGGGATCGTCTTCCTCGGAGATTTGCACCTTTGGGTCAGATGTAAGAGTCAGAGCACTTGGGCTCAGACTGAAGATCTGCTCAGAAATAGATTTCACTGTCTTCCCATGAGTCTTGAACTGTTTCTTCTGTGCACGTGATGGATTGTGGTGTTTCATGAATTGTAAAGGAATCACCAGACTTCCTTTACCAAGTCACGGTGGGGAGGTGCTCTGTAATCCTCGCTGACTTCTCTTCTTACCTTGTCTTTTGTGCTTGTCTTGCTTAGCGTTTCTTTGCTACAGCTGTAGTGATTAATATACATTTCAACCTCTGTGAATTTAGACAGATTTTGTTTTGGTTTCTGTTGTGAGAGGCACATGATATTAATGCTGTAAACGTGAAGAAAGCATTCTTGGGCTTCTTTATTAGGATAAGGAACATATGGCTTACCCTTTTTCTTCCCCATTTTGTTGTTTACCATTGTCATAACTTCCTTAAATTAATGTTTTATTAGAGGGGAAAAAACAAAATGTTTTTTATTTCACAAAGCCA